TCAAAATCTTAGTCCATTTATTTTTGCTCTTGCCAATCAACCATTCATTACTATCTTAAGCTAAAGATTTTTGATGATGTGTGATTTGGTTGCTCTCTACTACAAGGCAATTTAGACGTTGGTTTGCTAAGTGGCCGTTTGAACTGCAAGAAAGTGGTATCAGAGGTTCCGGGGTACTTTATTCGGTGTGGGTACTCCGATGCTTAAGTTAGTGAAGAGTTTTGTAGAGAGTTAGATTGCTTGTAAGTATGAGAATACGAGAGCTAAATTGCACGTACCTTGTGAGGCTGGAGGTGATGCCCTTATATAGACGAGTTGTTATAGGCCTCACAAAATGTATTCGAGATCACCGGCTCGCGTAACCCGAAGCCCGTTTCGCACCCGAAGATGGACTCTGTGTAAGTTGATAAGCCTTACTTGGGTCCCTCCGATTCGGGTGGGATGAGGATAAGGTCCGATGACATGCGGCGTGATTCTGAAAAAGATCGAAGATAGCTGTTTAGCTTCTATAAGAGGGCTATGTGATACCTTGGCAGGTCGGTGCATGCGAGCTCCTCGGGACCCGGTTTTAGCTTATTGGTCCGAGGTGACCAAAGTGACTTAGCCTACTGAGGTGTCTAGAAATGATGAGATGTCGCCTAATCGACAAGTCGCTCTACGTGTTAACATGTTAACGGGTCGGGCCAAATTACCCCTCATCAATTTTGATTTAAAAAAAAAAAGATTTTGTTTACAAGTTTAGCAAAAGGTTTTTGTTTCTAAAAATTAGATGTAAATGCAATTTTAACAAGCTCGTGGTGATGTGAAGATGTTTCAACTTGGCCGGCCATTTACCAAAAATAAGATTTAGCGTCTTTTGTAATAATTCAGGTTATGTTTGGTTTGATAGAAATTAGGGGAGAAATAGAAAGTTGAGTAAATATTAATACATTTTGTGAATTTTCTTGAGAATTTTTTCTAAATTTTTTATTTCTCTCTTATCTTTTATCAAACCAACCAAATACGGTCTCAGAGTCAATTACATTACATAGTGTTGAAAAGTAGTAATCTCATTCCCAATGGTGGAAAGAGCAAACTTGTCAATAAAGGCTTGAGTTGGAAGATTGGCAAAAAGATTCTTGTTCTTTGTAAAAATTTGGTCAATTGGTGGATTCCTTCCAGGTTTCCACTCAAAAGTATGATTCGTCATGCATCTTTTCTTTGGAATTTGACACTCGACAAAGAGGTGTTGGCTTCATAATCCAATCAGCTATTTTGATTTTAGAATTTAGAGAGAGGTGTAAGATTATGAAATTCTTACATGAAAAGCTCTGACAATTTTTTGGTTTCACTAATTATATTACATTAGATTTTTTATATGGATCATGAAGATAATTTGGGTTTACTTGTTCTTAAAAATTAATTAGTTTTTGTTGGTGATGAGGGCGGATTTGGCCCTCTAATGACATCGTGACATGTGGCATCTCGGAACAACTGAGTGACATTCGGAACTACTTAGGCAACAATTTAGCCAAGATGATGGTGTCCCGAACTGGCGACCTGGCATAGGCGTCGACCTGGCAACCTGGCACAGGCGCTGACCTGGCAACCTGGCACTGACGCCGACCTGGCGACCAACCTTTATGCCAAACTAGCGACCTCAACCACAACTCAGGTCAGCTAGAAGCACATCGTCCAAAGCTGACCTGTAGCACCTCGTCACTGGCCGAAGTGACCTCGACGCAAGGAGCGACCTCCCTCGAGGGCGTGTTGGCCTGACTGAGGTCTAGGTGGTGACCTGCGAGACGTGCTCGCTGACAAATTCAGCACGCATATCCCAACACTCCCACGATCCTTAGAAGTTGGCCCACGTATCGAACGTTCCGGAGGGTGGTCAACGTGCATAGCGGATGCCTCTGGGAATCTCGAACCACTTAGACGACCTCACGGAAATCTCGGATACGGTGCGTGAAGCCCACACAAACAATGCCTATATAAAGACACCAACCCCAATGACATGGGGGGGGGGGGCAAGTAAGCATATTTTAGCTCTCATACTTTGTGATTTTTAGCTCGCAGTCTACTATGAGAGTACTGACTTAAGCATCAGAGTGACCTCGCCGGGTTAGCCACCCCGGGTCCTCTGAAATTGATTCCTTGCAGGTCTCTAAAGAACTACGAAGCTCAATAATCAATCTAGCTCGCCACCAGGTAGCTCGACCCTCTAGTAAGCTTGGCAACTAATAGGCAGCTCGACCCTCTGGTCAGCTCGGCAACTAGTAGGCAACTCGGCAACTAATAGGAAGCTCGACACCTAATAGGCAGCTCGACGCTCTGGTTAGCTCGTCACCTAACCTACTTAGCTCGGCCCAGTCAGCCCGTCACCTAACCTGCCTAGCTCGGCCCAATCAGTTCGACACCTAACCTGCCCAGCTCGACCTAGTTAACTCAGCACCTAATCTGCCCCCAGCTCGGCCTGGTCAGCTCGGCATCCAGGTCCTCATCCAGCAAAAGTTCACTTCGGCCTCTGAGTCATCGACCACTTGGAAGCAGACCAAATGACGGGGTACTTAGCACAAAAAATTGCTACATCACCAAAAATTGATTCATCAGTTAGACATTTTGCTTTGATTTTCTTTGTTGGGTGGGCCTGAGATGGTGAGAGAGAGTTACGTATGCTCGGGTGGGGTCCGGATGTAGTAGGCACGTTAGGTAAGCACAATGAGTGAGTTATTTTATTAACTGGGACATGTGTCACACAACTATTACGTGTTCACTCATTGCCTACTACATCCAGACCTAAGTGGGTTATGCGGCAAGGCGGGCCAAATCCTCTTATTGGGTAATAAAGGTGGTCACCCCTTCACATGGAGTAAAGTTTGGGGCCTAAAAAAGCTAATCCCAATTCTTTTAGGAAATATTTTATTATTCTTTCTCAAGTATTTTCAATTAAGAGCATTTTGGGCATTTTAAAAAAAGCTTAGAGAATGATATCAACCTATTTTGTTATGGTTTTAACTTCAACATGACATAAGGGGGTGTATTTGGCACAATATCAAAACTTCAAGCTCAGTTTGGAAGGAATACAAATATAAATATGTAGGGTGAAAACCTTGTATTTTGTGTTATTTTATATATATTTATACTACACAAATTTATATTTGTACTCGTTCCAAATCAGCCTCATGAGAGGTCAATGCCAACAACTGTCATAAACTTCAATGGAGGTTTTAACAATGTACCCTACGTTTGTTTGATGTTAGGCATTTAAAAGAAGTTTAGAGAATGATATCAACCTTTTTATGTTATGGTTTTAACGTCAATATGACATAAGGGGTGTATTTGATACAATGTCAAAACTTTAGGAGAGGTTAATGCAGCAATTGTCATAAACTTCAATGAAGGTTTTAGCAATTTATCCTTGTTTGTTTGCTATTATCTTGTGGGGAGTAAATTATTTATAACTTTTGCTTGGACAAACTTGCTTACCCAAACAACTCGGGCCTAATTCATGGGAAGTTGGGAACTGAGATCATCATTCGAGACCAATATGTATGCTACCCATTAGTTTTACCATGGAACCCATTATAACAGCAGCATAAGAATACAAGTAATTTGATCAATTACCCTTTTCACATGTTAGCATTTGGTCCAATAAACACTGATGAGACACTTGACACCAAGGTTCAAAATATTGATACGTCTCTACATATAACAAAAGTATATTGGTACTTAAAATAACATGCTTCTATGTTTTTTTTTTATTTAAATTTATTTTTTGGGCCTATTTTAACAATATTTTTTATTAAAAAGAAGCGGTTCCCAAAATACCTATAAATAACATAAAACCACCGATAGGATACGATACGTCCAATATAGTATCAAAATTTTGAACATTGTTTGACACTAGTCACAAACATCATGGGAGTGTAGGAGACAAGTGTAGAAAACACAAGTCGTCCCTATCATCTTACCTCTTACCGGTCATTCACACCTGCTCCATCCAATCGACGTAGCCGGTAATTTTGAACTTCGAACTTCAAAGGAACCATATCGGCTTTCCTCTTTAGTTTTTTTCTTTTTTTTTTTTCTAGGATAAATTGAAATTGCTGCAACATTCCTTACAATTTCTAGTTATTATTTATTACTAAAACCTCTTTCAATAATTGCAATCACCTTTATGAACTTTTGATACAGTTGCACGAAGACCCCTCATTTGTTGGATTTTCCTATTCTCTCTCTCTATATATTTGGTAAAGAAGCCTGTATTTATATTTGATGAATGGGATGAGACCACTACGTTGTGGATATTATACTTTTTCTCTTCATTCATTCATGATAATATACAAAATTACCATTAAAAATTACGGATAAACACAGTAGAAATAGGAGATTATGAGACAAGGATCTGCTTTTCACACCTGATGCCTCACAACCCCTTTATACGCATATCCTCCCATGTATTGAGAATATCTTCCGCACTTATCAATTATTATTCACGGGAGATGTTATCAATGCACGGTGGATGTGCATGTGAGGACTCTATCTTAGTGCATAATAATATGTTACCACCAAAATGCCAGCTGGTTTAGCGGCCTCAGCCGTAATGGCTTGTCACTCAGAGTCAAGATTTATCATCGTAGTCCCATAGAAAGAAAACCATGCGAATACCCTAGGAACACAGCATCTACCCGTACATCGAGGATCTCTCTCATCTTGGGTGACACACACTGCGACGAAAAGTTAGATCTTTCATTTATTTACATTGAGATTGAACGATCTTATCCATTGGATTCTACACCCAACATCCACAGTAGATTCGTACTACCGTATTAGTATTTGCAGATCATCGCTCATTGAAAACATGAAACAACTTGTCTGGCTGTACCCTGTACGATAGTGGGCCACGCCTAATGTATTTTTCCGTTTTTTTTTGAGGGGCTACAGCCTACAGGTTGGTGGCCACGTTCAATGATAACTTGATAAGGATTAAAATGGCCAAGTGTGTGTGTGGTAGCTCAAAGCTCAAACTGCATCTTACAAAAAGCCACGTGTCATCATTGTTTACGAAACCTCTTGCGTCGTCTCGTCGCTGCCAGGAAACTCTCCGTCTATTACTCGGCCGGCGGAACCAGGACACGGCCACACGCGTAGAAATACTGAGACGAGTCTCCTTTTGTCTTTTCCGTTCAGTTCACGCATTACTAATACAGTAATAGTAATACTTCATCACGTCGCTTCCATAACCGACCGCCTCGTTTTTTTACAGCTGACGAAAAGCACACAAACAATTCAACCTCTCTCCCGCGGCATCTCAATCTCGATTCCTGTCCGTAAAAAGCGACTATCAATAAAAGGAACAAAAGAGAAGAAATTCGATAAGTTTCTTTATAACAGGCGAATCTGATTTTTTTTTTTTTTATTGGTGTGGGCTTTGTCAAGTTGCCACTGAAGATCTGAGATAATGGAATTTATCGACGACATCTGGTTATTATAGTTATTGGTGCTTTTAGGGTTCGTCAGATTTGAACTTTGAAGCACGCCAAAGAGGAAGGAGAGCAACGTTGAATGGCTGCAGAGTACCAATGCTGCGAAACGGGGTTCTTTGTTCACATATTGGTGATACTTTTGCTGGTTTTGTTCGCTGGGCTGATGTCCGGACTCACTTTGGGCCTCATGTCCATGAGCCTCGTTGATCTTGAAGTTCTTGCTAAGTCTGGTACTCCCAAGGATCGCAAGCACGCGGGTATTTCCCTTCCTCCATTTTATATATCTTTTGGTTTTGTTTATTGGAATTGTAAAGTTAAGCTTTGTGCGATGTAGTGAGATTTCCTTCCCCCCTTCTCTATCTGTTAACTTTCCCCTTTTCCTTCTTCCTTTCTGTTTATTATTTTTATATACATGGTTAGCGACTTAGCGTCTATCTTTCGTTTTTATACTTCTCGGATAAACTTAAGCATTTTTTTTTTTCGATTCAGAAAATTCCTTAATTACTTAGAAAGCTTTGAATACAAAGCGGTGCGTTCAAAACCCATTCATCTTCAATGTTCGACACGTAGCACCATGCAGCCAAGGCATGAGCTAAAACTTAAGCAATTTTTAGGTGGTAGGAGTTTGTTTCATGGGCGTTTCTTTCCCAACTTATTGGTCCCGATTTTTATACATTCGGGATAACTTCGGACTTCCCTTCCACTGGTTTCTTATTGGAGTTGCTTTCGATTAAAAGAGACTATTTCATTGTCGTGCGCTTGTTCTTTTTTCTCTTTTTATTCCTTTAGATATTTATTTACAATATAAATGGGTCACCATGCTCTTCTCTAACATCCAATTCAATATTAGACACAGTACGGTGTGAGTGAAGGTTCAATCAGCTCTGAACATCTATCATTTCAATTGAACAACTTAGTGAAGTGGTTGATTTGACTTTGAGGCTGTGTACAGTCTTGTCAGAGATGAGAAATGCGCAATTAGCTGGCCTTAAGTTTGAATTGCGTGATTTAACCACCTATGGATTTTCTTAGCATTTTCAGCGAAATCTCTTTATAATTCAAGCAATACACTGTTTTTTGTTTCCATTAGTGTATAGCTATTGGCTGCACACTGAATAGATCTCTACTCATGTATATGATTTTGAATGAACCATCAACCTTCCTTCACGAAAATAACCAAGACATTTGATAAAATCTTTAAAAAGTGTAGTTAACAGTGTGACGGTGAGATGCTAGAAGTTATTTTTTATGTGGATATTTTCTGCTTTTCTTGGCATTGCCAAATTTGTATCATTTGGTTCCTAAGGGTGTTGCTGTTAAAAAGATGCGTTGAGAAGGCATGGGCACTGGTTCATGCATATAGACAAAAAAGAGGAAGCTGAGAAATTATTATTATTATTATTGTTGTTGTTGTTGTTGTTGTTGTTGTTGTTGTTGTTGTTGTTGTTATTGTTGTTATTATTATTATTATTTGTTTAGGTTCTTGTCCGGTTAGAGCACATCTTTCTTCGATGAGGCTTGAATAAACATTTTTTTTATATGTGGGATATGAAAGGATGTCTCTAGAAATTTCAAGTGTTGTTGTTGTTGTTATTGTTGTTATTATTATTATTATTTGTTTAGGTTCTTGTCCGGTTAGAGCACATCTTTCTTCGATGAGGCTTGAATAAACATTTTTTTTATATGTGGGATATGAAAGGATGTCTCTAGAAATTTCAAGCTTGAGTTTGTTAGGACATCCCAAGAATTACTGAAGGACAGGAAGATGGATGCTTTTTGTGAATTGGGCCCCATCATATGGAAGTCTTGTTTAGAAGCTGCAATTTGGAGCACATGGAATGGAAGGAATTGGATGGTAGTATTGTCAAGGAGAAATTAAGTTTCCTGCAATCCACGACAGTCTTTTGTTCTGTTCTATTCTATTATTCTTGATTTTTGAAGAAGTTTAAAGGTCCTAATTTTTGCTGGTTATGGTGCCTTTAAGGTCCTAAATATCGATGCAGGCGCATCGGCCTGTATCAGTGCTTTTTTTTATGTTTTATTTATTTATTTTTTTCAAAACTGGTTCAGAGGGATCGGTTTAAGTCCCGGCTACCCTCTGAATCATGGCCTGACCCGATACACCCCCTGTAGGGGCGTATCGGGAAGGCCCTGATATGGGCCAATACGTAACGCTATTTTGAACCTTGGGTGCCATCCTTAGTGGAAAAACTAATTTGTAGTTTTTTACAGTATGGCCAATTTTAAGTGGTTGATTTGTTAGTCTGATGTCTACTGAAACAGTTCTTGCACATATGGGTCATTCACGTTACTTGAACTTATTTCATTTTTTACTTATGGATATTGGTTGATGGTAAGTTTCTCAATACAAGAATAACTGAACATGTTAACAATCTACCACCTTTTTATTGACAGCAAAAATCTTGCCAGTTGTCAAGAAACAGCATTTATTGCTCTGCACCCTACTTATTTACAACGCTGCTGCTATGGAGGTAAAACTATTAAGAATATTCTAAACGGTTCATGGGTGACATGCATCGGAAAAGTATACTTATGTTATAACTTCCCCCTTTTCACCAGGCGCTCCCTATTTTTCTTGATGGTTTGGTTTCAGCTTGGGGTGCTATACTCATTTCAGTGACTTTGATACTTCTGTTTGGTGAGGTGAGGCATCCCTTCTGATTATGTTTGTGTTTGAAATGGTTAGCACTGGTTTCAGGATAATCTGATTGGCAATGCAAGTTTATCAGTACAACCTGTGGTGTACATTTAGAAAATTGATAGAATGAGATCTACAATCAATTAACTTCTAAATTATTGCATTATTTTGCTTGCTTCTTGCACCTAGGAGGTCTCCTAGGTTTACCATCTCATGCATCCCATGTCTTTGCTGACATGAATAGTCCTATTTTAGGAAATTTATTTTATTTTTACCTGTAGCTTCTTTTGTTCTTTCCAACTTAGGAAATTTATGAATAGACTATGAACCTCTTGAAATTTGTGGTTTCATGGGTGTACAAACTGGCCTTATTGGCTTCTGCAAACAGATTATACCACAATCAGTTTGTTCTCGACATGGTTTGGCAATTGGCGCAGCGGTGGCTCCAGTTGTTCGTGTGCTTGTGTGGGTCTGTTACCCGGTTGCATTTCCCATAAGCAAGGTCATTGATGTTAAATTCCCTTACATGAGAAAACTGCTTTATTTTCTATGTTTTTGATCCTAATTAGATTGCTTTTGACTTTCCATGTTTTCTCATCCAGCTCCTAGACTTTTTGTTAGGTGAAGGACATGTGGCTCTTTTCCGTAGAGCTGAATTGAAAACACTAGTCAATTTGCATGGTAATGAGGTATGCAATTTTTTAACCATAAAACACACTTCTTTTGATAAACTTTAGCAACCCTTTAGGTTGCCATCACTTGGGGAAGCTATTTTTATTTTCTTTTCCGTTGTCATATGCCATTACACTGGCAGGGTGGGTTTTAATATAGACATATTCCCTACTTTCACATTAATGTATATAATTGATGGCCAGACAGCAAGGGCTGGCCTTCACTTCATGGGGTGATGGGTACATACTTTTGTATATCATTCTTTTGCAATCAATAGATGCATAGATTTATCCATCAAAAAACTGCAATTGGGAATATTTAGTTTCTATTTGGTGTAGCTGGATACTTAGCATCTCTTCTGTGAATCTTTTCTACCACTTATGCCGCTTTCTATTTCCTGGAGGTTTATACTTTCACTTCAAAATGTTAACGTCATAATTTCCATGACTTGTAATCAGGCTGGGAAAGGTGGGGAGCTCACACATGATGAGACAACAATCATTGCAGGAGCACTTGAGCTCACAGAGAAAACAGCTAGGGATGCCATGACCCCTATATCTGATACTTTTGCCATCGATATTAATGCCAAATTAGACAAGTAAGTTTCTGGCGTCAAAAGTTCAAGATAATCAAATTATCTTTTATGAGTTCTTTTTGTATTGAGGTTGCAGTTAATACTTATTATTTGCACAGGGATCTCATGAAGTTGATCTTGGAGAAAGGGCATAGCAGAGTGCCAGTATACTATGAGCAATCTACAAACATAATTGGGCTTATTCTGGTAATTGCTTAATTTTGTTTGAAAACTTAACGATAAGTGGTACTGATGTTGTTTCTGGTATGTAATATTGATGAACCGCATGTTATATGATGAGAAAAGAAAATTGAAGACGTTTAGGTATTACTTGATGCATGGTTTATTTTCTTTTATTTTATCCCATATACTTTTTTATCTCTTATATCCCCTCCAGAAAAAAATCCCATTGTCTGCTGTAAAGAATCTTTATTGTTTCTATGGTTATGGTACAAGAGAAAATTCTCTGTAGTTCATTATTTGCCCATCTAAAGGGAAGCCTAGTGAACAAGGCTTTCCACCTCTTGGATTCAAGTTTGTTGTGATTACTTGAATTCCTCATCTAACTTAGATTTATTATTCATTGAATCAAGGGGATTCTGAACTTGAATTCAACCAAAAATCTTATCATCAAAGTTCAACTTGAACTTGAGAACAATGAATCTACATATTTCTTTGTAAATAATTACTGGAATTAAGTAACAGGGAAAGAAGACAACAAAAAACCATGTATACAAGTTCTGAATGAAAGGATCAAACTTTCCTTGATATTAACTCCAATCTCCATTTGCATCAATGTTCCCTTCTCTCTACCACTAACTTTCTTTGCAAATTGTCTCAAATGAGCTGTTCAATGCAGAAAACCAACAAGCCATTAGCCTATCAAAATCACATGCTTGAATTGAAAATGGAACCAGTTGATCCACAGACAAGCAAATCCAACATGGAAAGACCAAAACAATTATTCTGTTCTCTCTTTTCTCAACTAAATTGAAGGAAAAACAGATAAAGAAATTGATGTCACAAAATACAAAACCCTAACTCCAGAAACAAATCACAAACAAAAGTTTGAGAACAAAAATCCAATTAGAGATTATTGATAAAAAAAAATCCAATTAGATAATATCTTCAGATTACTGAGAACAAATCTTGGAATTTGGGCTTGTAGATTTGGGTGGATTTCTTTTCTGTACAGAGTTTGATACATCTGGCAACTCTCATCACTTCTCCCCTGTGGTACCCAGACTTTTCATTTTAATGCAATTTCTCATGTTGGGGACATGGCTTGGAATTTGTGTCCTCTGGATACTAAGTTTTTGATTTGATTGGGCAAGTGCCACTTAATTGGACATCAAACCAACATAAATTATTCTTTGGTATGGTCAAAATAAATATTGGAAATTGAAGCTTGAAGGTATCAAATTTCCAATGAGGATGCCCTTTAAACCTTATAACATGTGGATTTTCTATACACTTATTTTTGGGTTTTCAAATTTCATGGTGCAATCTCTCTCTCTCTCTCTCTCTGATTCTATTTCTACCTCGACAGCTTGAGGTCAGTCAAATCTGACTCCTAGATGCATGCTTGCAGGCCCTGCACCAAAGTCCATGTAATATAGCTTCTGACAATCTTTTTTCTCATGTGGAAGTGGCTAAACAATTAGGGTTTTGGGTTGAATATTAGCATTGTGTTTATAAAAGTTACCATAATCATGGAGAAAACAAAAAGGAGCATTTATTGAATTGGGGCACCTTTTTGCAAATGCAAAAAGGAAGGGGGTCTAGGCCTAGGAAACATAGAACTAGAGGACAAGGCTTTGTTAGGTAAATGGTTGTGGTGGTTTCCCCTGGAACTGAATCATTTGTGGAAGCAAGTAATTCAGAGTATTCATGGTCTAAAGGAAAATGGCTGGGATGCTGGATTGAATGGAACGGCTGCCTTATTAACACCATGGAAACCAATTTCAGGTCTGCTGCCTTGCTTCTTGACTTTTATAAGGTATGAACTCTTTTCTGGGGACAAAATTAGATTTTGGGAAGATCTGTGGTGGGGTAATGCTCTCTTAAAAGAAAAATTCCCCTTGTTGTACCTGCTTTCTTCTTTTAAAAAATAAAACTGTCTCTCAGCTTGTGTCCTTTTCTTCTAGTGGGCTTTCCTGGAATTTTGGGTTTAGATGTAACTTGAGGGAAGATTCCCTTGTGCATAGAGTTAATAGACTATTTGGAAGGTGTTTTTTGGATCTTCCAAAGCTTGATGCCAGAGTTTGATCCCCTTGTTCTTCTGGTCTTTTTTCTTGCTCTTCCTTCTTTGAGTCCCTTTCCTCTCGTGACCTTGCCCCTACTTTTCCAGTGAAAGAGGTGTGGAGTGGACCTGTTCCACCCAAGGTGAGGGCTTTTTTCTTGGAGTTTTTTTTTTTTGGACTAAAAAATAAACACTTGTGAGACCCTTCAAAAGAAAAAACCCAATTGGTGCTTATCTCCTTACATCTGTCTTCTCTGCAATGCAAATGGGGAAACTTCTTTTTTACTTATCTCTTGCTCTTTTATGGCTGGTATTTGGGAGTGGTTTTCCACTCTAGTTAGGTGCAGGTGGACTCCTCCCAATGATTTGCTGTCGATTTTCAGCAGCAATTTCCTTAACCCACCTACAAGGAGAGAAAAGATACTGTGGAGATGTTCTAGAGCTGATATTTTATGGATGATTTGGGAGGAAAGAAATGGGAGGCTTTCTCAAGAGAAGGCTCAAAACAGAAGAGTAACCATTGACCTCATAACAGTGACAGTGGCACATTAGGTGAAGACTTTTAAGTCTTTTTAGATCTTTCACCACTGATGATATTATTAGGAATTGGGGGCTGATAAGCAACCTCTTCCTTTACCAGAGTGCCTGTTCAACCTAGTTAGGAACCCCTACACACTTGCTAATTAAGCTCAATTTTGACGGCTGCAGTAGAGGCAAGCCTAGAACTTCTGGTATAGGAGTTCTCAAAAATGCTGATGGGAGCATCCTTGGTCTATTTTCTGGTCCAGCTGGTCATGGAAATGCAATTAGAGCAGAAATTTTAGCTGTCCTATAGGGCCTAAAGCTGGCCAAGAGGAATAATTGCACCAACATTATTGTTGAAGGGGACTCTAAAGTGGTGGTGAATTGGGTTAGGCAAGCTGAGAGGTGCCCTTGGGAGTACAGACACATTCTGAGAGAGATCTCTGAAGTCTGAACTCAAAAGAAACAAAGTTATAGCTGTTCGATGGGTTTACAAATCTGCAAGTGGATTGGCAGATGGCTTGGCCAGACAAGGGGTAGAAAAAGAATCTATTCTGGGGAGATGGGACTCTTTCCTGACATGTAAGTATCCCTACTATGGGGTTTGACTTGTAACTGCTGCTTGGGAGATGGTTTTTTGTTCTTTCTGTTTCTTTTTATTGGTTCTTGGTCATCTCAATCTCTGGGATGACTGAATTCTTGTACTATTTTCAGCTTCTTTAATGATTCCTTTTTGTTATTCATATAAAAAAGCTTACCATATTTTTACATTTAATGGTGGATGCGGCCTTTTGTTGAGTGGAACAGCTAAACAGGGATTCCACCCCCATCTAGTTGTGGTAAGGCATTATTGAGTTCAGCTTAGTATTCTTTACTCTCGAAATGAAAATTATGTATACATAAAACCAATATATAAAGTATTATTTTAAATGTAAATACAATGATATATAATTAGATCATATCTTTATCATATCAAGTATAGTTATGTCTGATTAGTAAATCAATAATGTTTCACTATCCACATTCGATCTGATTGACTTGAAAGGATGTGCAACTTGATTGGGTTTAATTCAGACCAGATTCATTGACAGCCTAGCTTATATCATTCAATATTAGAAACTAGGCTTACTTTTTTTTTGATAAGTGAAATAAAACTCCTAACAAAAACCAGCAACAGAGGGTTCAATACAAGCAAGAGGGCTGTCCTATTTGATCACATCTACATCCAAATATTTCATCAGCTAGGCTAAGGAATGAACAGCCTGATTAAACAACCTAGCAATAAAGCTAAACTTAACAGTCATAAAACAAGAACATAAATCCTGAATTCTGTCCACCCATGCAGAAGCTTCCCAAGGGAGGGAAGGGGAACCTGTGCACAAAAAATCCACTACATTTTTTTGCATCAGAAAGGACCAAAATAGAGTTCCAGTTGTGTTCTTTAGCATAAAGTAAGACAGAATAGATGGCAAAAAGCTCAGCCACCACACTTGAACAAAAACACTAATTTTCTCTCATAGGAAAGTTCTGTTAGAATCAAACATACAAATTCCACAAGAAACTAGGCTTACTTTATCAAACATTTCTCAAGGGAAACTGGAAACTTTTTCTGATTAAAATGTAACTTGCATTTAGTTGTGTTACCAACATCTAAGCTCTCTACAATTTAAGAACTAAAGTATTGGCCTTGTGTTCTTTTGCAGTCAACTGTTCTGTCCATGTGTTTATACCCTTTGATTAGTATGGTTTGGAAAGCATGAATTCTTCACTTGTTGTTGTACTGAACCATTCTTATTTCCCCATTCTTGTGAATAACTTTTTTTTTTTAAATTTTTACCACTTTGTGCATGCTTGTTTTAACTTCTTGTTGTAAATTGTAGGTAAAGAATCTATTGACCATTAATCCTGCAGATGAATTGCCTGTTAAGACTGTTACTATTCGCAGGATTCCTAGGTAAGCTAGCTTGGTCAAGGAAAAGTCTTATTATTATTATTATTATTATTATTATGACCTATCAAAAAAAAAAAGCTAGGATTCTTTTTTCACTGTACAGTGAAGAAAATGGGTTGCATCTTTTCATACTGTTTTCTGAAATATGTTTTGGATTTGAGTTAAACCATGAAGGGAGAAACCTCATCCTAAACGGACTTTCTTTGGAGGTTTCTAATTAATTCAATTCAGTCTGTCTTGGCTTTTCTCATGCCATCATGTGTTTTCTGTCCTTATCTTTTGGCATGTGAATTACACAAAAATCTTTATTTAGTCCTGATTCTATATGCTAGGAGAAATTCCCCTTTAGGTATTTTTTTACTCTATTTATGTACTGCTCATCGTTGTTTGATTTTTCTATATGTAGGTTATCTTGATTTGGCTTTTCCAGATTTTTAAGACATGATTTTTCTCCTTGTTCATATTGATAAAAAAAAAAGATTTTTCTCCTTGTTCATTGTGAGATGCCATATTTATTAGGTATAATTTAGGAGAATAACAAGTGGGACCAGTGTTTTTTCGAATGGTCTTTATTGGTTTACTGTACCTGTTGTCTTCATTTTTTATATTTCCATTTAAGTCATGTGTAAGAGCTCAATGTTTAATATGGACATAAAGGGCCTCTTACTTGATCATCTGCAAGTCTTGTTAACAAAAAATAATTTATCAATAAGATGGAAAGAATAATACCCTATCATAGAATATAGGTGGATACTAGCATCATTTGCTTGGCTGTCATGGAGCCTAGATATATTATTGCCCCATAACACCACTGTATTTGCCCCCCCCCCCCTACCGGACATAATTATTGCCCATCTCATTGAAACAAGGTGTGCAAGAGGATTAGTTTTCAATGAGATGGTTGGTGCTAGGATGTCATTAACAATTTAAGGTAATGTTCACATTTTTATCTGTTGTTTATGGGAAGCTGGAGATGTGGAATGGAAGGGCTTAGTAAACTCAGAGTCCTTCCAGTAATGTAGCCATAATTGACAGTGAGAAGGATGATCTGGTTGTCTCAGGTGAGAAAATCTGAGAGTTGGTTCATTACTGTACACTGTTTGTCTTCTCCCTTGGCAGCCTTTCTATCTGATAAAGCAAGCTTGTCTGCTTTTGACAAACATCCTAAATTCTATTAACTGAAGTTTCTGGATGGATTTGTTTTAGAGTTCCAGAGGACATGCCTCTATATGATATCTTGAATGAGTTTCAGAAAGGTCACAGCCATATGGCTATTGTCATGAGAAAACATGAGAACACAGTCGGGCAGCAAGTCAGCAAGTCTCCAGTCGATGGTAAGCATATGGTGCTGTGGAGTGCCCTTTTCTCTATGTTTCTATTTTCATGCAACATGGTTACTGGTGTGAAGGATTATAGTCCGCCTTCCCAACCAAAAAAGTAAAGAAGGTTGGTTTCTTTTGTTATATTATTATTACACAGATAGAGTGCAAGATGTAAGGGTGGACATCGATGGTGAAAGGCAACCCCAAGAGAAAAGCTTAAAAAGCAAGAGGTCTCTCCAGAAGAGGAAGAGTTTTCCTAACAGCACAAACAATTCAAATCGGGGTACTCCAAGGAGCAAGAGGTGGCAGAAGGATATCTACTCGGAAGTCTTGCAGATTGATGACAACCCTCTACCAAAGCTCAATGAGGAAGAGGAAGCCATTGGAATAATAACAATGGAAGATGTCATTGAAGAGCTCTTACAGGTGTGGAAGAACAAACACTACGATTTTAATGAAAAGATTATTCTTTTCTTTTTAAATTTCAGGCTTTAACTTGTTACTGTGAACCTGGTTTTGTAAATGTGCAGGAGGAAATCTATGATGAGACAGATCATCACGGTGAAGACTTATAGCACGTATACAAAAGCTACATGCTAGACATTTTACATTAAAAAGTTGAACGGCTTTTGTTCCATGGGTAATGGGGATAGCTGCAAGAGTAAGGAGAAGTTCTAAGCTAGTGAAATGTTTGTAATTGTAGATGACCACAGGCTTGTAATGTAATGATATCATAGTGATGGGAAAGAAAATTATGTATATGATTTGTTGATTTGTTATATATTTTGGGTCTGGAAATTAGGGCAAAAACATGAATGATATTATAGGGGAAGAGGGTAGGATTTTCCCTCCCTACAAAGATGTCATAATCCTTATGAAAAGGGGCTAAAATAAGAACCATCCTTTCGATTGTATTGTACTTGTACGCAATATAGAGCTAAAAACACGAGTGCTCTTTCGTCTGCAAATTCCGTCTCATTTTTTAGGTTTTCATTTGGTTTATCTGATATATTGGCGGAAAAATTTTGGCTGCGTAAATTGGATAGCCTAGGCTTTCAAGTTTCAACAGTCCGGACTCCGGATCACCTGCCAACAAAATACGTTCCAACACCTTACCATCATCCAACACCGCATATCTCATGCATTGTAGGTCCCATTTTATAGTGAGATGTGTGGTGTCAGATCAAGTTAATGACAGGAGATCTCAACTCTCTCCCCATATAACATGTCATTGTTCGTTTGGGAGGATATTCACGCAACGGCTTCTGGTGTTGCAACTTGAAGTCTTGAAGCCCAAATACACTTAAAATTGAGCTGAGAAATTGGTTTTCTGTTGATGCTAATTTTGGTAGCTTATTCGAAGCGGGCCAATCAATGCAAGCTCAATTAACACCTAGGCCCTCCCTTAGTTATAGTCTTTGTCACTTGTGTAGTAAGTAGTATTGGCTCTTCATGCACTGCTGGTGAATTTATGTATTGTGGAAGGCAGGGAGACGAATCATGCAATGAGAGCCGATAACATTTATTTTGTTGTGGTGATTACAAGCAGATTTTAGGTTACACGTACTTGGGCAAGGTTCCAAACTATGGGGATTGCGTGATAATATCAGAGAAAATTTGAAGAAACTGGTGGAATGATCAGGGGCATGTCAGGAAAATTCATATAAATCTCACATCTACATCAATGTCACTAAATTTAAGACAGATGATTATAAATAGGCAAAATCAGTGTTTTAAGACTTGGCTCCGACCAGATGGTTGGACCGTGAAAACCAGGAATGGGTGGCCTTTTTGAGTTCCAGTTAAATGATGGTTTTGGTGGGTTGGACGGGTAAACTGGGATCTAGAGAGTATTCCGGCTTTTACTCTGGTCCCAGTCTTAAAACATTGGGCAAAATCTATGGTGCATGAACTGCACCGTGAAGCAAACATGCAAACTAGTGATGATAAAACAGCACATCACAATTGACATCTTTGAAATTGTTAAAAGTCTTGTGGGTAAGTACACCTTGTGAAACCTGAAAGAATGAAAGGTAGATAACTATTGTAATGTATTTAACATGATTGGTTGAATCTTGATTTAACATGCAACATAATATTTATAAATGCAACAATTTTTTTTTATTTTTTTAATTTTTTGGCAAGCAACTGATTCATTAAAAATCACAAAGAACAGAACACGAATACAAACACAAATATTAACAAAGAGGAAATAAAGAAAAAAACAGAAAAGAAAAACACCACGACTAAGCCTAAGAACTGAAACCCTGTTTTATTACAAACAGGAACCACCTAGGAAGAAAAATTCTTAGGGGGTGTTTTTTTTTTTTGGGTTTTGAGAGAGGGAAATGTTGGTAAATGGGATTTTGATTTCTATTGACCAAGAAACCCATGTTCTGTGGGGATTAGAGAAAGTTTATTTTCCTGGATAAATGATACCCATCTCCTAAATGGGTAAATAACTTTACCACCTAGGGGAAAACTTGCCAACACTTGAATGGGACAAAAATGCCCATTTTAATCATGAATTGTTATGACTAAAATGGTCATTACCTTATTTACATGGGAAGTAAAAGAACATATTCACTTACCCAAATAAGTCTTTCCCAATCGGGTAGTGCATTTACCCGGATAAATAACTTACTGAAAAACGAATGGGCCTTAATCTAACTGAACAGGAAAAACCAAATTGGGCCAAACGGTGCATTGCATTGTTAGCTTCCCTGGGGCACCAGCAAAAAACTACCTCTAAAGCACAGCACAGGTCCAAGATATCTTCTTTGATAAAAGTAAGTTCTGATGGGCATTCCACAGAGGAATCAGACAATAAGTTCACCATCTGGAGACAGTCAGACTCCACCTTAAGTCGATCGAAACCACCGGTCTTCGCAAAAGATAAAGCTTCCAAAATTGCCAAGGCTTCTGAATCAAAGGTGAAGATGCCAGCAACAATTGAACTCTAGTAAATAAGGTATATACATGTAAGAAATATTGTGTGAAATAACAGCCTAACTGATAATAATGATATTATATAACTTTACCAATACTGTGTTCATCAATGTTTCAACTCAATTTATTAAAAGCTTGATAAGACGCTTTAAATGTGATAATAAATGATAAACAAGTACTTAATTAGGAGACCTAGAACCATATGAAACAATTATAAATTAATAAGTGCAAAAATAGATTGACACACTATTTATACATGTGAACAATTAATTTATTGGCCATAATATATTAAGTTGTGCAATTTGAAGTCCACTTAATCTTAAAATGCTATTGCTAGCTAATGGAAATATTTACAAATTACCACGTGTTAAACCATTAACATGATATCCTTCCTTTCAAATTAAACTAATAGTTAATAAATAAAACATATATAGCTTTAATGTAAAAACATATATTAAATCCATAAAAATGTTATATGATACATAAATCTAAGATACAATTCATGTACTAGTAAATCTTAAGTACTACAATAAATTTTTATATATTTATAATTACAATATACTTAAAAACAGTATAAGTTTTATATAATGATGAATCCATGAATTTAAAGTTTTATTTTCTGTTATTTTCCTATTATTCTCTGTTTAACTTTAATCTATTACTTTATGTTATTTCAAATTAACATTGTCATTGTGGTTATCCTTTTCTTTTAATTATTTTGATTGAACAGATGTTAGGGTCAAAAAATTACTTCTGTGTAAGACAACCAACAATTGGGTAGGTCTTAATAATTAGTGAAACTATCAAGGTATAAAGGGTGTCTTAGTAAATGAACAAACGACTTTCCAAATGAGATATGTGTCCTACTCTCACATATACATGTACCAATGTAATGAAACACCTCTTACACGTTTTAGCTTAGTGAAATAAGGGCAGGGGAAATGTGCAAAAGATCCATGACACTCTTCACGTCACGAGCTAATAAAGGGATAAATTACAAAGACCCCCATAATATAGGGTCAGTGACAAAGATCCTCTGAACTTTTACTAGGTAACAAATACCCCCATCTGTTAGAGTTTCATCAGTTAATTTGGAAAAAGATACTCATTTAACTAGGGGGACTCAGGGGATCCATTCCCCCCTCCCCGTGGCCTAGAAATCCCCATTTATATTACCCCCATCCTTGTATATTTTCCAACTTCCCAACCTCCACTCCAATGGTTGGCGCCCCTAATGGCCCATCCATGTTTGTTCTCCCCCCTTCCTATCTATCTTAGGTTTTGCCCCCCTTTAAAAATTCCTATCTCCACTCCTACATTTAGCTATTTAAAGTTTTTTAGATCCGCAAGCTACATTTTCCTTATTTATTTGAATGATTAGTTTACTAAATATAATTTTGAAGTCTTCTCGGTTTCTCTAATAGATCTTTACATATTTTTTATTGGATTCAATATTCATATGAAACGATAGAGGTTTCTTTTAGATAGGTATAAATTTAAGGGTTTTTTTTTTTTTTGGTTTTTCTTGGTTTATAGGAGAAAGGAGTGGATAGGATTAAATGTAAAATTAAGTTTATAGACAAATGCCTTAAAAATAAAAGGTTTTGACGACTAAAACAGACATATAACATGTAAATTTAGTAATAATAAGAGTATAAATCAAAATATACTTAGGATTAAAGACCAAAAGATACCTTAATGTGACCATTTTCTATTACCTTGGTTCAACAATTCATAACAAGAGATAGATTGAAGAGGATGTCACCCAAAGAGTTAGAGTAGGATGGGCAAAATGGAAGGGGGGCATTTGAGCTTTTATGTGATAGGCGAATACCACTTAAATTAAAAGAAAAAATATATAAAATAGTTGTAAGGCCAACTATGTTGTATGAAGCAGAATGTTGGATGGTCAAAAAACATGTCCAAAAAAGTGAATGCGGCAGAAATGTGAGATGGATGAATGAAAAACTAGAAAGGATAGACTTAGGAACCAAGTTATCTATAGAAACCAAGGAGTAGCTCCAATATAAATAAAATGAAAGAGACTATACTAAAATGGTTTAGACACATGCATAGAAGACCATCAACTGTGCCAATTAGAAGAAGTGATTTCTTACACATTGAATGGACTAGAAGAGCTCATGGCAGATCAAAAAGGACATGATAGAAATAATAAGAAATGCTTTAAGCATTAATAATTTAATAATGGATATAGCTTTGAATAGAATGGATTGGCAAAACAGGACTCATGTAACCAACCCATATATTTGGGATAAGACTTAGATGATGATGATGATGATGATGATGATGATGATGATGATGACTAGAGAATGGAGTGGATAATTTCTACATTTTAATATGAAAAACATTCATTTGAAGTTTGAGTGGATTGTTTTTTTGTTAGATTTTTTAATTATGATGAACTCTAGACCAACATTACTGTTGCAATTTTACGAAATTACCTTGAGTCTGTAAGTGTTTTAGTGGATGAATGTATTTAATGTGTATTTTCTCCCTATTTGTGATATTCTTTTAGTAGTTTTCTCCATATATTTAAAAAGAAAATTTTCTTCTACAAAATAAAGCTTTTTCTTTTGAAAATAAAGTACTAATGAAGGATGCCAAATGCATGAAGATGCTTGTGACACTATATCCTTTATTCACCTTTATAAAATTAAAATTTCAATTATGGCTTATTGATTAAGTTCTACATGACCAAGGAAAAATGTCTCAACCTATAATCTCTCCCCATTTCTTTAGGCCACATTTGAATGCGGTGGAAAATTCCATCATGTAAAAGTCATTTGATGGAAAAATCTATCATGTAAAAGTTCATCGGTTTAAAATTGTTGGACCGTTGAAAATTTTTAAGTGATAATGAATGTAAAAGTACATTAATTTTATTGATGTATCATTTACATCTATTATTGATGTAAAAGTCAGCAAAAAAGCATGATTACATCGATTTTTTATGTAACTTTTACATGGAAAACAAATAATTGCAAAAGTGGACTTGGTGTAGAGTTTTACACTGGTCCACTTTTACACTGAAAACAAACGGGTGTAAATAGGAATCGACGATTGAGGTTTACATCAATACACATTTACACAGCAATCAAACGCAGCCTTAGTGTTTATCTTGATTGTGCCGTTAATGCTTAAATGGCGTTACAGTTCTACGTGATCAAGGAAAATATCTTGACCTACCATTTTTTTCCATTTCTTTAGTGTTTATTTTCACCCACCCCTTCCCTCAAAACACAAATAGATTAGCCATCGAGAATTAAAAAAAAAACGTTGTTTTTCTATGTTAATGAAATGATTCTTATTACTTTTAACTGATTTCATTTGGAGGAAATGAAAGTATTTTTGGGTCATTTAGGCTATGTTTGGTTTGAAGGAAAATGTAGGGAAAATGTAGAGTCATTTAGCCTATATTTGGTTTGTAAAGGTTTCTCTACCTTTTCCTTCCTTTTCCTACATTTTCCTTCAAACCAAACATAGCCTTAAGAGAAAATGGGCCAAAAAAAAAAAAAAGAAAATAAGGATTTGAATGAACATGTAGTCGGACTGGACTCTTTTACAAAACATGCCCTTTGGTTTGAATGAACATTTGATACCTCAGAGATACACAGCTAGATTATACTTGAAATTTCAAGATATCTTGCGCTAAGAATTTAAGATGTATAGTTTACATCAATTTAAGCTACATAGGCTGGTTCATGAATTAAAAAGTTATAAGGTGGGAAAAATCAGACTACATGATTATGAAGCAATGCAATTAAATGATTATGATCTAAATTTCTGATTAATCTGCTAAACACATGCCATCGGCAATATGGGATTAAATGTGGCATGTGAGAGGGTCAGAGGGCCGGGGATTTCTTCAGAAATAAAATCAAAGAAAGGTCTAATTATATTTCAATACTTCGAGCAGTAATAGGGAAACATGTAATCAAGAAAGGTTTAATTATATTTCATTTTTTTGAAAGCATTTCCCTTTTTTTTTCTAGTAACGTTCAATATTGGCCTTTTTACTTTCTGTGTTAGTGTATAAAAAAAGACGGATGGCTACTTCTTACACTTAGCCACCCTTTCCATGGAGCTGCTTTGGCATGCATAACAAAAACCACAGCTAGCTCCTCCGTATCTTCCATCTACAACATTTACCCATCCACCACCGGATCCCACTGCTACGATGTCGTTTAGATGATCCACTTCTTGGGCCAGATGATCCTTGCCTGCCTGACCCATGCCCACTCAGACCTTGAACTTGTGGTGGAGGTCTCTGACTGTTAATAAGTAATTAGGCAAGTAATTGAGGTAAGAATACTTCAAGCCACACAGCTTGTTAATAAGTAATTGAGGTCAGAATTTATCCAGCAGAATGAGAATGTAGATTTGACTATGTGAGCGGCCACTTTTTATGTTTAAAAAATGTTAAGAATTGGTACATATCCACCCCTCCCAAGAATTGGGCAATGAACTTTGAGTCATCAGTCATCATTCTGCTGGCAATAGGCAATGAGATCACATCTCCGCCCCACAACACATCCCTGTCGTGTATTGGGAATATTTCTTGATGATATCATTAGGACTGGTACTATAATCGGGAGATGTTATCAATACATGGCGAGGATGTACTGTAGGGCATTGTGGGGCAGAGATGTGAACTCATAGGCAATAAGCTATTTTTGTTTTCAGTCAGACAGTTCGGCCCAGAAACTATTGGTATTATCATCAAGAGATGTTATCAATACATGGCGGGGATGTGCTGTGGGGCATTGTGGGGCGGAGATGTGAACTTATAGGCAATAGGCAATAGTTTTCGGTCAGATAGTTCGGCCCAGAAACTGTTCAGTCAACTAGTTCCATTTCACCCCTGAATTGGAATCTTGCCAGAATTAACACTTGATTGATGACCCACTAATCTAGATGGTTGAACCATCAACCCATTTGACCCAGTCAATAGTTTTGGCCATTTTTATTTTATTTATTTTTTTTAAATTGCAACAAATCATCCACTGGGATTGAATGGTCAAACTAGAAACTGGTGGCCAAAACTATTCCAATTCCGAACTGGTTTTTAAAACATTGGATTTATCTCTAAAATTTCTGGTTTCAATCTAAAATCCAGCACAGGAGTACAGTGGAGATTTTTCATTTTACAGAGATTAAATGATTCTTCATTTTAGGCTACCTAAATGGTAATCAGGGCCTCAACCCTACAATACCATTGTCTGAGACTAGCATATACTACTTACTAACTAGTTTAGGAATTAGGACTACCAGTATTTCAATTTAACGAGGGCTACATGTCAGTCGGTTCAAAATCAACAGCAACCTCTAGAATTGTTCTATACTCTTGATAATCTCTGCTTTGCATGTCGTCTTATAATGTCCAGTTTGGTTACATCGACTACAGTGCACAGTATGTTTCTCCCGATTAAGGTCTTCTACACAAAGTCGCTTCTTTTCGGGGCGACCTGGAGGGCGTCGAAATTTGGGTGGTCGCACAACTCTGATGTCCTCATCTGTAGAACCCTCGCTAGCCTTACTCCATTCACCTTTATCAGGAATGGGATGTATCATTTGTGAATAGGTTTCACGGTAATTATCAACTGTGAAGCACTTGTCTGAAAATTCATAGACATCTTTTCTACATGAGATGAGTGCTGCAACGGCATGGGAGCATGGCAAACCATATAATTGCCAATCACGACAAGAACAACATCGAGTCCCAATATTCACAATGTCTGATCGCTCAGCAGATAGAACCTCAAATTCTACTTCATCTGATCGAAGCACTTGGTATCCAGATGCATTATTAATTGATTCCATTATTCGTTTTTCGGCAGATGGAGCAAGTACCGACATCCATGACAATCCCTTTGCACGCCGTTCATCAAACACAGCCATCAATTTACTATGAATCCGCTCAATCACCTGGATTATGGGTAGCTCTCGTGCTTCCAAAATCCATCTGTTGAACTCCTCAATGTTTGAAGAGAGATGGCCATATCGTGTTCCTTCAAAGTATGCCAGTGCCCAACGGGAAGGTGGAATCTGTTGAATCCACTTGGCAGCTTCTGCAGAAACCTCTTCAATTTCAGCCATTTTCTCTTTGAAGCTAATGGTGGTAATGGAATAGGCAGCTTTCCAAAGAAGATTGACAAGCCTTGAATTCTTGAATTCTTTTCCAATGCTTTCACTTAAATGGCGCATGCAAAACCCATGAGTTGCACTTGGGAATTTCCTTTTCACTGCATCTACAATGCCTTTTTGTCCATCTGATAAAAAGGTGAGTTGAGGTACTGTCTCAGCGTTCATCTCTAGCAGCTTATGTAATTCTGACAAAAACCACATCCAGCTCTCATCATTTTCTACATCAACAACACCAAAAGCAAGTGGAAATAACGCACCATCAGCATCGAATGATGTGGCTGAAAGCAAGGTACCTAGGTACTTGCTCTTCAGCTGGATTCCACCAAGCCCAATAAGGGGCAAGCAACCATTCACAAACCCATATATGGATGCATAGAAGGAAACAAAGAGACGGTGAAACCTGTTATCAGCTCCTGTAGTGAAAACCTGTGCAATACTTCCAGGATTGGTCTTCTTTATTTGTTCACAATATGCAGGAAGGAGGCAATATCCTTCTTCAGAAGACCCATAAATTGCTGCCAGCCCCCGTTCCTTGGCCCTCCAAGCTTGCTTGTAAGGAATCGTGATCCCATACTGTTTATGGATGTCTTGCAATATATCCTTTGGCTTGTAGTTCATGTTGTCCCGTAGTCGTTCCTCTATGAAATTTACAATCCAATCTACAGATGCCTGGTGATGGCCATGCTGTGCATTTTTGCCACAAGTATGTGTACTTTCAAGGCTCCTTATTGTAAAAGTTGGGACATTTGGAAGCTTCACCGCACGGATGCGCCATGGACAACCTTCAGTGGCACACTTTGCAAAGTAACGAATCAAATCACTCTTTATTATTCGAAGCTCAAAATGTTGGGCAATAGCAGCCTCTTTGATTGTCCTCCGAAAAGTCTTGACATCAGAGAATTCTTGACCAACAACAAAATTGTAATCTTCCATGTGCCAAGATAAGTGCACTGGTCCAACTCTTCAGTACTTCTAATTGATCCTTGAGCTTTCTGTCTACTCTGTATGAAAATTAGGTTTAACCCTGTCCAATTAATAATATTTAATTCCAATACATGCCTGCTAAATGTATCTTCTGAGGTAGAATAACAGGGCTCAACCACTGCAAGAAAAACCATACAATGTCAGCCAGAAGTGCATGAAGTCATTATTTATACCCACAGATGAAGCTATCTTAATCAGGTAGCTACATTAACACTTCACTGGGCATAAACATGCAAACAATGGATTTGTACCCTCAAATCAAGATGTTACTATATGTATGTATATACCTAGTGATATGGATAAATAAAGGGCCATTGCCCTTTGTCGATCAGGGATCTTAGGGTGGGTAGATTATATACAATCTGTCAATATAGATACATATGAAAAGATTGCACATGCAAGTTAGCGATCAGTAATTTCACTAGAGATGACTGGGGCATGCTACCTGCATTTGCAAGGTAGGAATCCAGGGTACAGAGTCTGTTCTCCATTGGACCACTAGAGAACTTGAGAGCAAAAGATCAGGTCAATTAGATGTGTGCCATATGCTTAGCTTTTAATATTATTTAGAAAACCAGAAAGTACAGGAAAATGTCTGAGGCATCAAAAAGCTGCATCATATGATTGATAAATACATATAATAAGCATCATCATCCATGCCTTATCCCAACTATATGGGATCAGTTATATGGATCATGTTTTGCCAATCCGTTCTATTTAAAGTCATATACACTGTTAAATTATTAGTGCCTAAATCATTTCTTACTACTTCTACACATGTCCTTTTTGGTCTATTCCTAACTCTTCTAGCCCCTTCAACTTGTAACAAATAACTTCTTATAATTAGAGCTGTTGGTGGTCTTCTATGCATGTGAATAGACAATCTTAGTCCACTCTCTCTCATTTTATCACCAATTGGAGCTACTCTTAGGTTCCTATGGATGACTTAATTCCTAATCCTATCCTTTCTAGTTTTTCCGCTTATCCATCTTAGCATTCACATTTCTGCTACACTCATAGACACTGTTTCTAGACTGCCCAACACTCTGCTCCATACAACATAGCTGGTCTTACAATTGTTTTATAGAATTTTCCTTTTCCTTTTAATCCAAGTGATATCCGCCTATCACATAAAAGTCCAAAAATGTACCTTGCTCAAGACCCATTGTAACCATAGTTGTCAAGGCAATTCCTAGGTGCCCGCCTAGACGACAAGGCACCCTTGGAGGTTCGCCTCGCCCAGTCGCCTAGCAGTTTTATATACTGTCTTATAAAATACTTTTATATTGTTACTTTTTTGAGATTATAATTATAAAATAGACATTATTAAACAAAAATATTCATCTTTTGTGTTTATAAACTAATTTCTTTTTATTATTTTCTTATTTTTTAGGGTTTAATCAACACAAAAATTGCTAACTGCTGTATTGAACCCTCAAAGACTTCAGAATTTGAACCAATAAGTAAGGGAAAAACTTAAAGTTTTGTCTAATCAACACACTTCTTCCTCCACTTCTTCTTCTTCTTCTTCTTCTTCTTCTTCTTCTTCCACCTTTTCTTTTCTTCTTTTCCTATAACAAAAATAGGGGTTCAGTTCCCATATTTTTTGAAATTTCTTTTCTTTCTTCTTTTTCTTCTCATAAATATGTTGATTTTCTATACATAAACATGAAGCTTATAATTTTCTTATGAAAATTATGGATAGTTATTAAGGAAAGATGGTTATGGAACCTAAGGAACTACCTAGGATATGTACTTTTCAATTAAAAAAAAAAAAATTCATTACCTAGGCAACTAGGCGACAAAGCACCCCCTTGTTGCCTAGCCTCACCTTGGCGCCTTGAAAACTATGATTGTAACTATATAATCTAAATATGCTTAGTCAATTCATCTATGATCTGTGCAAATAGATAAGGGTTAAGTGTTGACTGTTGAAGACCCATTGTAACAATATAATATAAATTCTCTCCAACCGGTGTTCTAACATTGGTTGTTGGCCCCCATACATGTCATTAATTAGGTCTAAATACCTACTTTGAACCCCTTTCTTTTCCAAGACCAACCATATTATCTCTCTAGGAACTCTGTCATATGCCTTTTATAGATCAATAAACACCATATGAAAATCTTTCTTTCTCCTCTCAAAACTTATCAATTGTCTCGAAGGAAATATAGCTTCCATGGTTGATAAATACATATAATACCCAATTAAATTTTATTGTTGTGCAACTGTTCATCAAAGACTAAAGTTCATCAGGTTACCTTGAAGAAGAAAACGTTTTCGAAGCAAATGTTAATCCAACCATGGCATGAGTCATTCTAAAGTTGTAGGTGGGTTCTATTTACGCTAATACATTCAATAATCCTGTTTAAATTTTGTTAGACATCAATTACCGAAGTTGGAGCTAGACTTCACGGCAGAAGCGATCTTGTTCTTCCATATAATGGGTTCTTAGTACTCAATTTAACTGACAAAACCGAAATAACCATCATCCCCCCAATAAAAAAGAAATAAAAATAATTACATTAAAAAGCATGAAAAAAAAGCTTCATTTCATAAGGAGGAGGAGAAGTATCTCTAGTGAAGTCATATTAGGTGGTAAAGACAATTGAACAAACAGGAGGAAAATGATGAAAAAGTGATCGTATTAAAGACTGAACCAAAGAAAAAAAATATGGTAAAAGACTAATATTTATTTAACATACGGGCATCAAGGTAACAGGAGTCAGGTTTTTCTCGAGTGGAGAAAAGGAGAGGGGGAGCCAAAAATTCCCAAATTATAGAAGAGATTAAACAGAAAAAGGATCATTTCTAAGAAAAAGCTATCAAATCCAAAGATAGAGGCCATAATACTAAGAGAAAAGGTGCTTATAGAAGAACAAACTGCACATGACCAAAGGAATCAAAATCGATAGGGTCATCGTTTTCAACTTACCTCGAAGAGCATCCTTGGAAGCTGAGGATCAAAGCTTGTTATACGGAAAAAGAAGCGAGATGAACCGAAACGAATATAGAGATTCAGATCAGGAGATGCCATGGAAATCTGCAATTACAGGAAAACAGAGTCCTTCCCCATTAGAAGGCAAAGGAAAACGTGGTGGAAGGAGAGAAAGGGAAAGTTGCGAAAAAGAGAACCCTTTCGGCATTCTGACGAAAGATTAGGGTTGATTAGGTCACCACAAGGGCATTATAGGTATTATAATTTAAGCAAGGGGTATTTTGGTCAACATAATGTAGAATTGAACAATACTTTAATACAGTTGTGTAATTGTACTCTGAGACCGAGTTCAAACCAGTCCTGATTAAATCGGATTTGATCTAAAAAATTCTGATCCGTTTATAATAAGATCATATATGAATTTACCGTGCTATCAAGATCTATGTATTTATTAATTAATAATTAAGTTATAAGTTATAACTGTGTATGTGTTTTGTAGTTGAGAATTCTAAATGATGATAATTATATTAATCATAAATTTTATATTTTTTGTTTTTTATTATTAATAAGATGCAAATTGTAAAATTCAAGTGTGATTATATAAATATTTCATCCAAATATGTGATAATCAGATTGAACTATGAAGTTCCAAGTATCATTGACAGGTCTACATGCTTGGCTAAACTCTTCTTTTGTAGTGTTTTATCTTTTTGGTGTATCTTTTTTGTTTTTTTGTTCATTTATAAAAAAAATGTAAAATTTAAATAGAGAGAATTTAATGAGGTGAAAAGTAGTAGTTCAATTTACAATTTTAGCCTTACAATTAAATAGGGAATAAATTAAAAAATGAATATTTTAGTTAATGTTTTAAAAAATTGGACCACACTAAACAGTAAAACCGTTTGGCCTAGGAACCAATCGGGTCATTGGTTTTTTTGGACCTGAACCGTAATTTAACAAAAAAAAAAAACCTGTTGAAATGGTTAGAGAACCACTAACCTGACCTGGATGATTTAACCATTAAAATGTTTGATCCGGTTAATGGTTCTCAAGTTTCTTTCAAACTAATTCTATTTTTTTTTACTTATTTTAAAATTAAAATAAAAAATAAAAATAATTGAAAAAAAGAAATTTTCCATATCTCATAATCTAGTTCGATTTTTCCTAATGGCCAAAATTAATTATGGTTTTTAGTTTTTCCATTTTGATTTTGAGTTTCTCATTTATGTGATTCTTTTTAAGTTGTAACAGCAAAAAAAAATGCAACTCCAATGAAGAAATTGAAAAATAGATGCAAAAATGAGAGATTAAATATCGAACTTATATTAAATTCTGAGATACACTAATAAGGCAAATGATCTAGGATTTGAGAGAGATTTAGAAAGGTGAGGGAGATGTAAGAAGAGGGCAAATGGTGCTATAGTGGCGGTGATGGTGAACATGGAGATAGTCGCTGATGGCGGTTCCTACTCCTCCTCCTTCTACGTAGGGCAAAACGGTTATGCAACAACGATCCATGAACATGGTGACAATCATCTCTAATGATTCTTTCTTCACTTCTTCTTATTCCTCTTCACTTCTAAAATTTATCCAACCACCTCATTCTCAAAGTTTCACACTCCTCTCTCATAATAATGTGTATATACGGTGGGTAGACTCGATAAAAAGTTGACCCAATCCAATCCAACTCAAAAAAACAGGGTTAGGGTCTCATATTTAGCTATTGGACTATGATAATGACTTGACCCGGCCCAACCTGAAAAAAAAAAAACTAGGTTGGGTTGGGTTGAGTCCTAGGTTAACCTGTCGACCCGATTGTCAGGTCTAATTGGGCCTATTTATGTATTCTTAGAAGTTTCTACTCTTTAATCTTTACTATTTAGTCTTTACACTTACCTGTTAATTCTTTGAATTGTTGAATGTTTCAAGTTTTTTACTTTATTTTTAGAAATTTAAAGTTAATTTCTTTAATTTTGGAAATTTTTTATAATTCTCTTTATTTTTTTAAATTTCCACTTATTTTTAGGGATAACCGGAATTAACCCATGGGTCAACCCTAACCTAAACAGTTAGGGTTACAATCCAGCATTCAATGACCCAACTCTAAAAGCCAACCGACCCAAAATCAACCCAAATTGCCTTGACCCAACCCAAATTGCCTTGACCCAACCCAATTGTAGGTCTAAGGATGGGCTTTAACCTAATCCTATTTTAATGGTCAAAATAAAATGTTACATTATATTTTACATCTTATCGGCTTGACCTGCTTAAACCAGACAATTGAACCACTGACTCGGAAACTAGAAGCCAAAGCGGTTATGTTTTTAGGTCGGTTTTTAAAACATTGATTTTAGTAAAAAAAAAGTTTCACAATCTTATTCATATTTTTAATAGTAGTGTAAATATAAAATTATAGATGTGTTCAATATTTTTTTTTTGTATTTATAATTCTGAAATGTCACAATTAATTTTTGTTTAATATGATAAAATACATGATATTATACATGTGTCTGAATGTTTTTTTAGCAAAATTTATGTATTTTTTCATTTTTATATTTTATTAATTTTTATTATTTATTTATGACATTAAATGTTAACACATTTAACCCAAAAGTTGAACTATTTACGTGTTCAATATTTTTTTTTGTATTTACAATTCTGAAATGTTACAATTAATTTTTGTTTAATATGATAAAATGCATGATATTATACATGTGTCTGAATGTTTTTTTAGCAAAATTTATGTATTTTTTTTATTTTTATATTTTATTAATTTTTATTATTTATTTATGACATTAAAGATTAACACATTTAACCCAAAAGTTGAACTATTTATTTATAATTTTTATATTTTATTTTTGGTGAGTTTATCGGTAAAAATAATTATTGTTTATTACACTTATTTTTTAATTTGATTAATAAGTATATCATAAATGTGTCTAATTTTTCTACATTTTTTGTAAATTTTTATATTTATTTCTATTTTAAAAATCCTATTACCTAACTATGACTTCATAGGTTGATTAATTTGATTCGGATGATTGAATTGCTTAGCACCAATTGGATAAAGAGTGGTTTTGTTTTTGAGTTAGTTTATAAATATATGGGTTTATAAAGTTAAAAATGTTGACACAGATCTAATTAATAGCATTTATTAGTGAAAAATAACTTAACAACATAGTATTTTATAAGAAAAAATGGGAGTTAATAAGTTAAGTATAAGACTGAATCAGAGGGGATTAAATGAGATGGAAAGTAATAATTGAAGTTACATTTTCAGCCCTAACAATTAGAGATGGATTAAATACACAAATATGACCATTATAGTAGCCATTAAAGTTGGTTTTAAAACTATAATAAAATGACTTTTATACCCTTTTTCAAACAAAGAAATATAGAATAATTTTAGTCAAAAAATAAGTTCCACGCTGTATCCACACTTTTATATATAATATACATATATTAAATTTTAGCTTAATTTATATGATATTCGAATCTGATGGATGGTATTTGATTCAAGAGGAGGAATGCGGAAGGCTATGCCTTATCAAATCCAAAATGTAGATATGTAGGAGTAATGAATCATTTGCCATTTGTGAACATTGGAAAACTACTTGCTGTTCACTTCATGGTTGATTAAATGGAGTCCCACCCATCACAAATAGATAATTGGGAGTGATGGGTCTCCCAGATTTATGCTTCATAAAACATTTAGAATAAATAGTGATTTCATGTTAATCAGCTAGGACGAGATCAGTTTGGGTACGCTGAGAGGGAGGGAGAGAAGGAAGGGGTTAAAGCACCCTCTCTCTGATCAGTGTGAATACGGAATTTCCCTTTTTTCCTTGGAGTTGATGTGAGAATCCGGGTTCACCCTGATTTGGGAGGATTTGGAAGCTTCTCTCCTCTCTTCTAGACCAACCCCTTTTGGACGTAGGGGTCTGAGCAAAAGAATGAATTATCACCCCTTTTCTATCAGACCCCCACCTTCGGACTTAGCTAGTAACGCTTCAACCTCTCAGACACCAGGGGACACGCCGATTCTCACATCAAAAGCAAAAAGCACTATAAAAAGCAGATAAGAATGAAGGAGATAAGGAAAAACATTTTACCTCTTGTAACTTGAAACAAACGAAACTTGTTGAATTGGGAACTTTTGCAGGCTCGGACTGTTGCTGAATGGATACTTATGGAGGTCTGAGATGGTTGATGACACGATGGAGTTGGAATGGCTGTAATAGCAGGGAGAATAGGGTTTCGGCGGCTAAGAACAGAGGAGGAAGGCTAAGTTTTGCTCCATTGACAAAACCTCTTGACTATTCTCTCTTTTTTACGAAGAAGCTTCAACCCGAATCTTCTCTTTCTCCTATTCGTTCTCCGTCTCCGTCTCCCTCTCTCGCTCAAAGAAGGGGTATTTTGGGAACTTGGGTCAAACGGTATTTTGAGACATTGGTCTGAGGGTATTATAGGAATTTGGGAGAAAAGGGGCATTTTAGGAATTTGGTGTGAGGGGTATTTTGGGGATTCGGAATAAGGGTTATTTTGGCTAATTTGGGTAAGGGGTATTTTGGTAATATGACATGAGGGGCATTTTAGGGATTTGGTGCAAGGGGTATTTTGAAAGTTTTGAAGGAGGGGTGTTTTGTTAATTTGGTCAAGGGATATTTTTTTGGGATTTAGAACAAGGGTTATTTTGAAAGTTTTGAAGGAGGGATGTTTTGGTAATTTAGTCAAGGGGTATTTTGGGGATTTGAAATAAGGGTTATTTTGGGCAATTTGGGTATAAGGGTATTTTGGCAATTTAACATTAGGGGAGCATTTAAGGAATTTGGTACGGGGGTATTTTGAAAATTTTGAAGGAGGGGTGTTTTGGTAATTTGGTCAAGGGGTATTTTTGGGATTTGGAATAAGGGTTATTTTGGATAAATTGGACAAAGGGGCATTTTGGTAATTTGACATGAGGAGGCATTTTAGGAATTTGGTGCAGGGGGGTAATTTTGTAATTTTTGGAAAGTTTGGTCACACTTGGTCCAAGGGTGGTCAAATTGGGATTCTGGACGAATTGCTGAGATTTTGGGTCAAAATGAAGGGTTGAGGTGGGTTTGATTACTGAGAAGAGCTTTGTGTGTGTAGATCAATGAGATTGACCAAAATGGAATCTTTCTAGATGTATGGGTAAATATGGGTATTTTGGACTGA